CCCCAAAACCCCAAAACCCCGTAAGCAAATATAGCAAATGAATTTAATAAAATAAACAATAAAATAGTGGATTAGAGTTGAAGGTTTTTAATATGTAATTATGAAATCATGAATAAGAATTTAAATCTTTCAGCTTAAGTAGAGTCGATTCTGTTTCAACTTAAGTTAGATTGTTCTGGAAATCATTCCTCATCATTATCATCTGGAATGTAGGCAGCACTACCGTCAGTATCAATCTCACCGCACATTGTGACAGCTGTCACCAATCTTTGCTTGCAAATCTCATCAGTAGTATACTTAGGTAGATCAAGTTAGAAGAAACTAAAAATAATTAATATTAATTTATTTTACCAAGTATGAGCTTCTGGGAATTCTTTATCTCCTCTGCTTTAACAGAGATAGATAGTATGGTTATCTCTAACTTTGCTGGTATCATATGGAAGTCTTGTTCTGCCCCAGACGAATTTCAAGTAAAGCATTTGCTCTTCATCAGTCATGTCTGCGAGCACTCTCCAGAATCTTTAAACAAATTCATTATTTTCCTCACAAGCCTAAATTTTTTATTAGAATGGGGAAATGATCTTACATAATATCTTGTGAATTTTTTAAGTTTTTCAATGTCTAGAATTTTATCACCGCATGCTCTGATTTCTACTTCTTCCCAGGTGAATAGTTTCAAAATGCTTATAGGAATAATATAGTCAATACCCTCTCTAATAGCATCAATTTGAGTTTTATATTCAGAAAATCTCTTTTGCAATATCAAGTCACAATATTCGTCGAGGTTTTCTTTGTTCACAATAATGTCCTTTCCATTTTATTTTAGCTCAACTTCTGATCCGTCTGATAATCTTGTTACGAATGCTTCTTCAACAACAGCAGAAAACTCTTTATCTGAGAGTTTCTTGGCCTATTTTTTAAGATCTTCAATAATTTTCCATGAATAGGTATCAAATCCTTTTAGATCGAAAGCAGTTAGTGGATCATTTAGGATCTACTTCCAGAAAACTGGAGGGAAGTGAAGTTGCAATGGACTCATAGCTCTTATACCATATCCTAATAAGTATCCCAAAAATTTAAACATCTCGATGTGAGTTGGGTTGTTTGAGTTTAGATTAGGAATGAAGCAATCTCTGTTTTCTCCATGATTGTTTCTGTTATTTGCAGTCTTTATCAATAGAGGTAAATTCTCTGACTCTAGCTCTGAGCAAATATTTGTAAGTGATTCTCTATATGGTCCACCTGCATCAATACTACCTTCACCAATAAACTTTGCTGAATACACTCTACTGTCAGTTGAGTTCTACTTAAATGCACTAAAACCACTCAATTTTAAGCTCTGGAATATCTATCCAAAAATAGTGTGTTCTCCTTTATGATCAACTTAGCCAGTCTCACAGAATCTCTGAGCCTTTCTTCTTCTTATTTCGACATAGCCTGAACTTCCTGTCTCTAGGGAAGTGACCTGATTTAGAATGAATTTGTTCTTCATGCTGAATAGAATCATACCTTTCACAGTTTAGAAAGATTTTGTCATATCTCCTTTAGATGCTTTATCATCAAGAGAAATGTAAGGCATAATATTCAAGAATATTTGGTTGAAAGATAAATACATCTCTATTCTTCTTCTCTTTACTGACTCTTAAAGCTTCTTAATCTTGACATTTTTGAAAGTCATATCAGCAATCTTAAAATCATTTTTGACAGTAATATCCTCAAGTAGCTTATCATTTAAGTTAGACCTTACATATCTATCCATTTCTCTCAATAAATCTTAATCAAGGTCACTAGCAAACTTAGAGGCTGAATCGCAAAGCTCATCGTAGCTAGTTTTAGTGAGCTCAATCATTTTTTCATTCTTTTAATAGCTTAAATCAGGCTTAATTTCAATATCAAGGCCATAAGAAGATGATTCTTTGTAGTACTATTTAAGATCTATTATTGGAAGTCTAGCTCCTTTCTTTAAAGGCTTTTTGATTCTGTAGTAAATCAAAGGATTTATATCGAAGCTATTTGGCTGCATAAAAGCAGTTTCACATAAATCAACTTTTTGATTATCTCCGTTAATCTTACTGAATGAGAAATACCTTACTCCGTTTAATGGTTGTAAAGTCAAATTGCATTGCAGTCCATCATGAGTTGTATCAGTAGATTCCTAGTCGATAAGTTCTTTGGCAAGGTCATTCAAATCTGGCAATTCGATATTTTCAAGATTTTCAACTTATGACTTCAATGCCAGACAAATATCTGGAAGTGTGTCTTTCTTTGCTTCATATTCATCCTAGGTTAAGTATTGTAATTTTCCAGCTTCATCTTTGTAAACGTGAAGAATTCCAGTCTTTAATTCACCATTAACTTTATGGCTATGTAGATTATCAGTTGGCTCTTTTTCACCTTCGATAATCACGTGAGATGATCTGTGACCAGCCTTGAAATCAACTATATTGAATCCTCTAAAAGCTGTCACCTCTCTATAGTAATTGTTTTTATCCTCAGCTTCAATTTAAGTTAATCCTAAATGATGGAAGATCTTCTCATCCTAACCAACAGAATAGAGTTTTTTCTCCTTGCTTTCATCCTCAAATATGATCAAAGTATGATCAAAACCACAAGAAATTTTCAAAGGTGTTAACTTTTCCTTAGCAGGGAAGGTAACTTTCTTTGGCTCAAAGATACCATCGTAGATATCTTCCTTAAAGCCAGCTCTCTTAGATAGATTGCATCCCCAAGCCCATAATTAGCCATTTTAATCAATAGCCATAGCATGGTCACCATAGCATGAGAATTCTACGAATTGGATATTTTCTTGATCAAATTTCAATGGTTTGAATAACTTTGAGTGTTTTACTTATTATCCTTGACCAAGTAAACCTTGTTCATTCTTACCAGCAGACCAAAATTCAATTTTGCCATTTTCTAGTTGGACTTTCAAGAATGCGAGAGGTGAATTTTTGCCCATTGATGCATAAGCTTTAAGAACCTTAGCTCCTTCTTTGAGAGGGATATTAATGATTTTCTAGTCACAGTCAAGTCCTAATTCCTTCATCAATCTGTTACCAATACCATATAGTTTTCCATCCTCAGTCACAAATAATGTAAAGTGACTTGCAGATGAAATGTCTACAATTTTTTCAGTAATCTGTTACTCATCATCAATCTTGTCCATAGCAGTAAGACTTGAGTATTCAGTATTTAACCCAAGATGACCGTCCTTGCTATAACCTTATCTGAATATCTCATTCTGATCATTGACAACATATAAGCTGGATCTACCACAAGCAACCAAATTAACTTTTCCTCTAAGTCCAACTATTTTCTCGTAGGTTGAAGCAGCTCCACCCATTTTCTTGGAAATAGTTCCGCATTTATATAACTCTTTTTCTTCATTTACAACAATAGCAAAGCAATTTGCAGTAAAAATTTGCATTGGTTTCAGATTTGAAGTGCTATAAGCAGCTTTTGGAAGAGTACTAGAACTACCAGCAACACCTAATCTTTCATTGGAGCCATCTCCAAAAGCAACAACTAATTGCTTTTTGATTGGATAAAGAATGTAGAAATCACCCTTAAAAAGTTCTACTGCTTTATCCTTACCTTTGATATCCTCTTAGGTATAGTAAGATATGCTCTTTCCAGTTGCATTATTCGCAATTCCTACAAATGTAAATTCTTTTAGTTGAGTTTTGTCGTTAAATGCAATAGTTAGCTTTTCAACTTATTTCATTGTGAATTTTGCTAAAATCTTTGCATCATAAGCATAATGATTGGTCTCAATGTTGATATTCATCATTTCAGTTTGGTATTCTTCAAGAGCTTTGAAATGGATGTAATATTTAATGAAGTCGAAATTTTCCTTATCTGATAAGACTTTCTAGCCTCTCTTAACCTTTAATATACCAGCTGAATTTTCAAGGTTTGAATCTACTTGACGTAGGTTTCTATCTCCGATTTTGTGGAAGATATCAAGCAATTTCATATGAATTTCAAGTAGTAGTTTTTGTTGATTATTGAACTTTGTTTAGTTGTCATAATCAATGTGAAGGATGATGTATTTAAGTAGTTCATGATTTAACAAACTATCTATAGACTTATCTCTTACAACTTGCTCAAGATTATCATCTGAATATTTCAAGATCTCAATAATAAGAGTCAATAATTAGTTTACAATGGAAGACTTCTATTGCTACAAGAAAGTGAACATGCACAAAGCATAGTTGAACATTGCTGGAATGTATTTGGGTTATTCTTGAATGAAGCTAGGATATTTTCTAAGGAATTATGATGCTACATATATGAAAAGATATGGGTTCAGTTCATTTAGAATGATGTGCTCTGTGTTGAAGTATTCTTTTACAGATTTGCCTGGATTCTACTTCATTTTAGTGATTGTCAAGACACTTGATTGAATAATGTCAAACCTTAAGAAATTCCTAAGGTAGTTAGAGAACTCTGGAGATTCGTCGCAGAACTTAAATAACTTTCTGATTATTGACTTGATAGTTTTGTATTGATTCTTCTATCCAGTGTTTAGATACAAAATCAAAGCATCGTTGAATGCTGTTCTGATAAAGCAAGTGAATATCTTTTGACTCTTTTTATCCTTCATAACACCTGGAAGGAAAGTACTAAGATCAGAATTAGCTAATATAGATACTAGCGCTTTTCTACTTTCAAGATGAGCTATGGAATTAATAGTTTCCTCATATTCTTTTGTCAGCTGTTTGATATCAATTTTAAGAACAGCATCCCAGAAGCTTTCCTAGCCTTGTTTCACTGATTTTGATTTTGCCTCATCATCAAGCTTATCCTCAGAGAATGGCTTTATCTTTTTTTCTATAATTTCATCAAGTTTCTTAGTGAATGTCTCATCCTTTAACAAATCCTCGATTTCAAAATCTTTGTCAAAGTTTTCTCGCGATTCATTTGCGTCTGATTACTCTGCTAATTCTTCAATAAGACTCTTTTGAGCTGTTCTACCGAAGCCTTATTTCTTAAATTCTGCTAGTTTTTCTTCGATTTCCTTCTTCTTTTTAGTTTCATTCTCAGCTATTTTGACTTTAAGTTACTCCACCTCCTTGAATTTTTTATCAACTTCAAGTTTCTTAATTTTATCCTAATTCTTTTATTTCTCTTCATAAAGGTTTTAAATTGCCTTGAGTGCATAATTAGCAATTATGTTGTAGGCTCTGTCTTAATGATCAATAATGCTGGAGAGCATATAGTCATAATCAACATTACTCCAACTCTATAACTCCTTAATAACTCCCTCGACTAAACTCTTCTAGCTCTTTATATGATTTTCGAAATTCAATGAAATTGGTAATTGAATTCTTTCAAAATCTACTTTTCGAATAAATAAGATGACTGACTCTAGCAATCCTAGGAGGCATCTAAGTTTTTCTTCTTTTTCGTCATCTTTCTTGACAAGTTGAACCATTTGAGTGAATAGTTCCTTTGGTTATATGTCATTTGTAGTTACAACAACCTAAGAATTCAAAAGGATGTTAATAGCTTTATTATCAAGCTTCATAAGTTCTTGAGAATCATAAAAAACTAAGCCATATTTCTTATTGAGAATTGGATTGGGTTCAAGTTCTTGATCAAATTCACTCATAAAGTTGACTAAATCCTTTCCAAGATGTGACTTAAAGATTTGATCATTAGATATATTCTGAAGGTTTATTGCTGAGAGTAAATGAGCATTTTAGATGACAGTATCTCCAGTTGTAGGGTCACTTGATTATAAGATAATTTACTTTTTGTTCATTATTGAAGCAGTATTCTCACCCAAGTTTGGAATCAAAGAGACATCATTTTCAAGTGCTTTTCTTTTAATCTCAACATATTTAAGTTCCAGCCATTCTAATGGAACAATCTTTTTGAGAGTTAACTATTGAGTTTACTTCTAGTATAAATGCTATAGTAAAGGCTCTAAAAGGCCATTTTCTCTCATCAAAGTGATATATTTTTCTCCTCCAGATTAGATCATGTTTGTGATTGAATTTAGCATATTTACGTAAAGTTACTGTCTCTTTACTTTTTGATCAGCAGTAAGATTTTCAGGATCTTTCTCTAAAGATTGAAGAACTGAAACAAATTTCTTAATAATTTCCATATCATTAAGGATCGACATTTGGAAAATTTTTTCTTTTTCTTCTTTATCAATGTGGCAGACAATGTTGACATCAAACATTTGAAGAGCAATTAATTCTTGTCTCTCCTTAGCTGTTTCATCGTAATAAAGGCCAATAATCTTGTCTTGTGGTGATGTAGCACTTAGCTTTACATTTAGGGATTTGAACTTATCCGTCTCGAGCTTGGTTAAATTGTTTGGCTGATCCCATTAGTCTGAGAATCCAACAATAGTTACTTTCTAATTATCATTTGAGATAGCATGAGAACCAGACGTTAAGCCTTAGAACTCTCCACCAGTAATGATACTAAAAAGTACATCAATTTCTTCGCTAGGTATCTCATCTATTTTCAAGAATTGAGCCTTTAGTTCGTTGTGCATAATTACTCTCCAATTTTCATGAATCTCATTGGTCTCAAGAATATATTTTAAAACGTTTGATATCTCCTATGTTACAGCATATTGTCCCTCAGCTACACAGAATTATTTAAGA